TCTATGACAACAACTACTAGCAGCACACCACAAGACACAAACAGATAACTTATTTGGGCCAATAAACAATTACATTGGCAAATAATGCATCAGATCACCTCAGAAACACCAGGTCCCTGGACTTAACCAACACATCAGACCCAGTGATGTATGGAACTTCCTCACTTGAATCATGTAAGAGGAAAGACACAGAAGCACACACGGACCAGTCATCAGATCAGCTGGTGTATGCCTAAAGGATCCACCAGTGAGGAACTCTTGACACTGCCCCTGGGGCTTCCGCTCAGTTCAACTCAAATTGCCCTCCATCCAGGTCTGGTGATCCTAAGAATCAGTTCTGCACGTAGAGTTCTGAATCTTGAACTAGCATTGAACTCCAGGCTGACTATTGGACATCTTCAGGCCTTAAAAGATCTGTGATATCCTGAGACTAGGTTTGATCTGTGTGTGTGTGTGTGTGTGTGTGTGTGTGTGTGTGTGTTAGCAGCTTTCCTTTACTTATATTAGGTTTGATCTTATCTGATTATCTGCAGTGACTCTTCACTTCTGTACCTGGTCTCTGTCATTGCCTTTAAGCAAAGCTTTTTTGAACCACGAGACCATCACTTTAATCCCTTCTAGGCCATTCTGGGCCTGTAATATCTCCATTTTTGCAAGTGTACTGTGTGATCTGAAAGTTAATCATAGTAATTATGATTAGAATAGACGCCTCATCTATCAAGTGACCTCAGTTAGTACATGGTGAACTAATGCCAATGACACTGACATTGCTTGTGAATTTGTTGGGATTCAATAAATTCCGGCACTCTGAAAGAACACAATGTATCCAGCTATGTTCTGACACAGCTTGCTCAGGTCACCAGACCTATCTGCCATTCCTTTCCTTAGCCTTTTTTTTGAGGCTTATCTCATTCTTCTTTCTGAATTTTTCAACTCTTCTAATGAGTCACACAGCTAATATATTTTTGGAACTGCCTTAATCCCTACAGTTTTTTTACTTGATTTACATCTGGGGAGTACATGAGGTCATAAATGTGTTATGCATGCAAAATGTAAGTTATAAAATAACTTAATTTTTACAAAGACATGCTTCTGATAGTTTGGTACCAAAAAGAAAAAATTATATATATATAATTATGCATAATAAAATCCCTTCTTATAACAACCAAGAAAAAAAAACCTAAGGAAACCCATAAAATGTTAAAAATGTTATATTTTTTTTTTTTTTGGTCAGTCGTGGGGCTTGAACTCTGTGCTTGTGCGCTGTCCCTGCACTCTTCAGCTCAAGGTGAGTGCACTACCGCTTGAGCCACAGCACCACTTCTGGTTTTATAGTGGTTTTTATTGGAGATAGAGTCTCATGGACTTTCCTGCCCCGGCTGGCTTTGAACTGTGATCCTCAGATCTCAGCCTCCCAAGCCACTAGGATTACAAGTATAAGCCACCAGCTCCCAGTAACATTTATATTTTGTGCACTAATCTTGGTATTTTCTTCAACTACCTGATAGACACTTTTTTTGTTTGTTTGTTTCAGTTGTGGGGCTTGAACTCAAGGCCTGGGCACTATCCCTGAGCTCTTTGATGCACAAGGCTAGCACTCTATCATTTTGAGCCACTTCTGGTTTTCTGGTGGTTAGTTGGAGATAGAAGTCTCATGGATTTTCCTGTTTTTATGTTTACAGTTTTTGTAGATGGAATTGGACTGAGTCACCCAACCCCTCACTCCAGGAGAAGGCTGAAGATTGCTACATTTCCTCTTGACCACAGAGGTTAGTTCAGGTATGAACAGATAACCCATGGGAAGCCTCTGGGGGACTCTTTTCCACAGTTACTGAGAATTAACTGGCTTGGAAATATGACTAAGACAGAACAGAAATCAATGTTAAGAGAGATTCTTGGGGGTGTAGACAAGGATGGAAAAACTAGGAGAGAATGAGGGAAGGGGTGACATTGTCCAAAAAGAAATGTACTCGTTACCTGACTTACGTAACTGTAACCCCTCTATATATCACCTTTATAATAACAATAAAAATATAGAAAAAATAAGTTAGTTACACTTTAACATATTGTCTTGGGATCTGAATCAAATATAGACTTCCATTCTAGACCAGGGAAAAATATTCATTCTTTAGTCTGTTTAAATTGTAGGAAATGTTACATTTACTGAACTGGTATGATGAATAATGAATCTGTTTTAAGAAAATGAATGTAATAATGAATCTTTTTAAGAAAAAATGATTTCTAAAATGGCTTAAGTGACTGTGTCTAGATCTATCCATGGACTTTTCAGTTACATGATTCAATACAGAGGGAAATGGAGGGGGTTATTCACAGAATTCTCCCTTTTGGGGAGGGTTGGTATAGGGCATAGAATCCAGGGCCTCCAAGTGCTCTACTATCTGAGTCATACCCTCAGTCCTTTTGCTTTTAGTGTATATGTTTTTCAGATAGGGTCTTGTGCTTTTGCCCTGGCCAGTCTTGGACCATGATCTTCCCAAACCTCTCTTTTCAAATAGTTGGGATATACGTGGGCCCTAGAGTTCTGCTTTTTATCAGCCAGTCTGAGTTGGCATCTTGCCATCAGCATCTGTCCATTTATTCATTTAGTGAAATTAAACTTCAATCAAAGTAGTCTACAATTGTGGTAGGAAAAAGACAGACTCTTTAGCCTGCATTAGCAATTTTTTTATTTTAAGCCTTCAAAGGAGGTCTTTCTAGCCTGGTTGGAACTTTGTGCTGCCTAAGATACAGATGGACTTCTCAAATCCTAAATGTAGAAGTCTCCTATCAACTATGAAAATGTAACACCAAGACAAAGGCTTCAGGAGGGAGCACAAGTCACCAGCTATGGCACCCCTGTCAAGAAGACATCCCCAGGAATAGGCAACCCCTAAGAAGGGGTCTCTGCTTTTTCACAAAACACACTAAGTAGTGTGACTGAGGGGGCTGAAGAATAACAATGTATTTGATGTCATCAAACTTTTGTTTTCCAGTCCTGGGGCTTGAACTCAGGGCCTGGGTGTTTTCTCTGAGCTTCTTTGGCTCAAGGTGAGCACTCTACCACTTCAGCCACAGCGTCACTTCTGGCTTTTTCTGAATAATTTATTGGAATCTTATGGACTTTACTGCCTGGGTTGACGTTGAACCACCATTCTCAGATCTCAGCCTCCTGAGTAACTAGGATTACAGGTTTGAGCTACCAGAACCTGGCTCAAGCCTGTTTTTAATTGCTACTTTTCCATTTGCTCCTATAATGTTTAGAGTCTATAAAAGGATATAGAACTATATATATATATATATGTATCTTTATATATATATAGAATTATATATATATACACACATGCATGCCTATATATACATATAGGTGTATATATATATATATATATATATTCTTTTTGTGTGTGTGTATATGCTGGTACTGAGGCTTGAACTCAGTGTCTTGTACTCTTACCTGGCTTTTCTACTCAAGGCTGGTGCTCTTCCATTTGAGCCACACCCTCACTCTCCACTTTTTTCTGGTTAACTGGAAATAAGAGTCTCATGAACTTATCTGCCTGGGCTGGTTTCAAACCATGATCCTTAGATCTCAGCCTGTTCAGTAGCTAGGATTATAGGCAAGAGCCATGAGTGCCCAGTTTAAACCATATTTTCATTTCTATGTTCTATGACTTTCTCAAGACAGAACTTAGCCCTTTATGTTACATATTCCCAGTCATGCATATATTCACAAAGCACCAGTACATGAATGTGTAAACAACCCACAGAGATAAATAAATAAAACTGCCTTTTCTTTTGGGGTATGCATCATAGTAAATGATAGACAGTATATGGATTTAACATAACTGAAATATATATTTCCCAATTCTGTAAAAACCCAAAGTTTATGAAAGCTATAACAGGATCAGTCTTCACCAAGTCACAAGTTTGTTCTAAGCTACAAACTATTTAAAAATTGTTTTGGAAAAAATCCAAATATTCACACTATCCTGGAGTTAGAAAAACTGTATAAATTGGATGAGAAAATAGGCATGGTCTAACAATGCTGGAGCAAACAATTACTTCAATTGCTCAATTAGCACACAGAGACATTGAAATGCTCAAATCAGAGTAAAGATTAACCTAAAGATCAAACAGGAAAATTAAATAGGAGCACCAGAAGAGGGGATAGGGTAAGGTATAAGCCCTGGACAGAGTCAGGCCTCTTGTCTCTTGAAAACCCTCCTAAATTCTCCAAACAGATCACTGGATCAAAAATCTATCTCATGAGGATAGACTGAAGACCCAACTCATTCCCCCTGATATCTGGAAGAGAATCTGGACTGAATTCAGTAAATGCTTCCTAGAGAAGCTCAGAAGATTTCATAAGGCATTCAAGACAAACATCTAATCTCTGCTTAAGGGCAACCCTCTGGAAGAATGACATTCAGACTTCCAGATTGAGAAATGCAATGTGAAAATGCGCTGACATCCTGCCTCCCAAGGGAGGTTAAGGGGTCAGGGAGGGCTGCAGGGGGGGAGGTGAGTTGAGCCTCCTACTTCCTATGACAGTCATCAACAGGAAACAACAAGCTGGGCAAACTCCTAATAGGTGTGTGTGTGAGTGTGTGTGTGTGTGTACTAGGGCTTTAACTCAGAGGCTGGGCATTATCTCTTAGATTTTTCCAGTCAAAACTGGAGCTCTGCCACTTGAGCATACCTCCACTTCTCTCTTTTCTTTCCTCTCTTCTCTTTCTTTCTTTCCTTTCCTTTCATTTTTTCCTTCCTTCCTTCCTTCCTTCTTTCCTTCTGTCCTTCATTCTTTGCTCCCTTCCCCTCCCTCCTTCATTCTTCTTCCTTTCTGTGTGTGTGTGTGTGAGAGAAAGAGAGAGAGAGAGACTAGTTGAGAAATCAGTTTTATGGATTTCCTTGCCTGAGCTAGCTTTAAACAAGGACCCTCAGATCTCAGCCTCCTGAATAATGAGGATTACAGGCATAAGCTTAGACATATTAATAATTTTTTAAAAAGGTTTCAGTAATTATCTCTTGCAGTTCAATGTTTCCAAAATTGGTTGCCCAGCTCCCATTTGGAGTAAGCTACAAGACTGACTCTAAGGTCTTGATGCAATATAACGTCTTCTATAAAATAAAATTTATATCTTCAGCAAGACTATTTTCTTTGGTTTTCATCCACTTAAAATTAGCTGTTGTTTTTTTCCCCTTACATTTGCAGCCACAACCATTTTAGGACAATATAATAAAGGCTATAATTGTACACAGGCAACATCTGCTAAGCTAAACAAGAGCTCAGCTGCAGGGAGAGGCAGGGATGGAGAGTGTGGCAGTCCCACAGGCTGACCAGTATCCCTGGGGACTAGGCACCACGGTAAATTGTTTTCAACAAGTTTTTTTTGTTATTATTGTTTTTTTTAAATCAAGTCCATCAAAGATATCAATTCAAGCTGATGAAAGTCTGCTGTCCTGGGATCCAGTCTCTCTGTGATGGAGCACTTGAGTATGGAGGCCAGGAAACAATCCACCTGGTATCCCAGACTGACTCCAAACACCCAGCATATTCAGCTTCTGCAATGGCTTCATTTGCTGCTGCTGCCACTTCCAAAGAGATGTCACCAGCAGCTTCTTCACTGGGGTACCAGGAGCTCTTTTCACATTTCAGTATCCTCAACAGGGGGGTCATTCTGTGAACAGGGAGGACAGGATGAGTTAGAAAGAGTAGGGAAAACCCTGCCACTCAGCAATTGCCTTAGGGATACTGGGTCAAGCAGAAACACTAATAAGAGTGTAGGGCCCAGCTGGGCACCAGTGGCTCACGCCTGTAATCCTAGCTACTCAGGAGGCTGAGATCTGAGAATCACGGTTCAAAGCAGACTAGGCAGGAAAGTCCATGAGGCTCTTATCTCTAATTAACCATCAGAAAACTGGAAGTGGAGCTGTGGCTCAAAGTGGTAGAGTGCTAGCTGGGCACCGGTGTCTCACACCTGTCATCCTAGTTACTCAGGAGGCTGAGATCTGAGGATCCCAATTCAAAGCCAGCCCAGGCAGGAAAGTCCATGAGACTCTTATCCCCAATAAACTACTCAAAAATGGTGCTGTGGCTCAAGAGGTAGATGGCTCACCTTGAGCTGAAGAGCTGAGGGACAGTGCTCAGGCCCAGAGTTCAAACCCCACAACCAACAACAACAACAACAAAAAAGTGGTAGAGTGCTAGCTTGAGCAAAAGAGCTCAAGGACAGGTCCCAGGTCCTGAGCTCAAGCCCCATTACCAACAAGAGAAAAAATAAGTGCTGGGCCCTGATGACTCATATCTGCAATCCTAGCTACTCCAGAGGCTTATATTTGAGGATCACGGTTCAAAGCCAGCCCAGGCAGGAAAGTTTATCTCCAATTAAATACACACACACACACACACACACACACACACACACACGACAGAAGTGGAGCTGTTACTCAAGTGATAGAGCACCAGCCTTGAACACAAAAATGCAGGGTCAGTGCCCCAGGCTCAGAGTTCAAGCTTCAGGACCAGAAAAACAAAAACAAAAACAAACAAAACCCCCATCTACTGTATTTCAGGTCCCATAGTAGGTGTTGGTAGAGAGGCATTGGGAAAAAGAAGGAGTAGAAGTGATAATTTAAAAATAAGCAAAAGAATTTCAAGTCGTGATATATATGTTGACCAAGTGTGATAGATGACGGAAGGGGTGGATGCAGATCCTTTGAGTTTTCAGGACAGGCTCAAGTGAGGAGGGTGAGAAATGTCCACATGCTGATCAGAAGAAGGCATGTTCCAGGTATGTGAGGGGAGTGAGGGGGATGGAGGATGGGCCTGGTGTTAAAGAATAAAGGACATCCTCATGGTTGGAACCCAGCTTATTTTCGATGGCTAATTGGAGCTGAGTCTCATGGACTTTCCTACCCAGGCTGGCTTCTAACTAGATATCCTCAGATTTTATCCTCTTGTGTAGCTATGATTATAGGCATGAGCCACCAGTTCCTGGCTGGACTCAAAAGTTTTTAGAAAGTAGCCTCCATTTTCACCATTAGTTCTCAAAAGAAGCAAGCCCGGAGTCCATCAGGAGCTGTTGGTAGACTTCAGTTACTGAGCTATGCCAAGAATTACTCCACACATACCCAGAGACTCTCCAGAACTCTGAGTCAGCAAGAAGCAAGACAGAACATAAGACACACTTCCCTTTCTTATCCTTTTGTCCCCTTGCCATCAGTGACAGCCTGTCTCAATGCAGTTGGCACGAGGCAGGAGCCTGGTGCCCTTTTTTCTGCACACGATGCTGATTTATCTGGGGACTGAAAAGGAACAGGGCACGTAACAAGGACATAGGGGCCCTCCCCATGTGAACAAACCAGGCCACTTACCGTGGGGACTGCTTGTGTATTCTGGAGCTCATTGCTGGTCTCCAGTGTTACATAGCCAGCTCTGCTGCTGCAGCCTGCTTCCAGACCTGCTCTTTCATCTTGATTTTCCTTGCCTTGTTCCTCCTGCTCAGAAACATTGCTGTCTCCCTTTCCTCCAGAAGGATTTTGGAGGGTCTTTTCCCCTTTAGCTTCCTCCTCCAGCTTCTTTGCATCTTGGACCTTCTCTCTGGGCCTGTCCCCATCATTTCCCACCTTCTCCCCCTGTTCCTCTGTAGACTTTCTGGTCTCCAGTTCTTCTCCAGATGCTTTTTCTGCCATGGGACTCCCATATCCATTCTCTGTCTGAAGGCTGGAGGTGTGGGATGGCTCTAAGCCCTCTTTCTGGGCTGGGCACTTGCTGGTATCATCTGGATTCTGCCCAGCCTCCTCATTCTGTTTTGTCTCTTCTGGGGCCCCAGCCTTCTCCTGTTTCTCCATCCTGCTAGATGTCCTCCTCAGAGGGGGCTTTCCTTCAGACACCTGGCTTCTACTAGCTCCCTCTCCCATGGACCCCTCACTGGCAGAGGGAGACCTTGGGGCCTTACTCTTGGTTGTAAACACTTCATCCCCGTTCTCTTCCCTTGCACCATTCTCCTGAGATGGCTCCACAGCCCTAAAATCTCCAAGATCTCCACAGTCTGACTGAGACCTTCGGAATCGCCTAGAGGGTGGACGTCTTTTTATGGATCCTCTTGTCCGCACCTGAAGAAGGTATTAAGGGCGATTATATAAAATCTGTTAAAACAAAACATATTTCTCTGTGTGTGTGTGTGTATGTGTGTGTGCCAATACTGGGGCTTGAACTCAGGGCCTGGGTGCTGTACCTTAGCTTTTTGCTCAAGGCTGGTACTCTACCACTTGAGCCACAGCTCCATTCCTTGCTTTTGCTGGTTAATTGGAGAAAGAGTCCCATGGACTTTACTGCCCAGGCTGACTTCAAATTTCAGTTCTTAGATATCAGCCTTTGGAGTAGCTAGGATTACAGGGGAGAGCAACTGGTGCCTGGTTAGCATGGGTGTTTTGTAGAAGGATCAGTTTTTTTGTCCTTTAATCTGAGGTAAAATGCAGGGAGGATGGTTTGATCTCCTCTGGGACACTGGACTATTCACATCAAGCAGAGCAAGAGGCACTGGAGTATCCAACCTGCCTAACCTTCTGTGGGAGTCATGACTCAGAGTGTTCGCTTTCATTTCCAACTTTGACATTATGTATCTGTGCAACTGGGATCCACTCTGAATTCCCCACTTCTCTCTCTATAAAAGACAGAACACTCTATCCCTCTAACTTGCAGATTGAGTCTATAGCACAATTACAGAGGAAGCAGATGAGAGAGGTAAGCTAGGTGGAGGGGTAGACTTAGTTCCAGAATCAAACACTTACAAGGGCAAGAAGAAATTTCACGTCTGCAAAACCAGTTCTGACTGCAATGCTAAGTAGTTCTTCCTTTTTCCAGGACAACAATCCTTTTACCAGAATCATCTTGTCCCATATGTTCTTGGGCATACCACCCTTTGGGGACCATGAATTTATTTACCTTATTGTAACAGGGCAGATGAGTACCTTCAGGAGGCTGGTCGAAGCTGATAGGCACCTCCTCTGCTTCTCCAGGCCGAGACTTCATGCCAGGGCTGCTGGGCGTGGAAGGGGGGCTATGAAATGGTGAGACCATGGCCTTGAGTCCAGGACTCTTGGGTGAAGCTCCAGGCAGCAGAACTGCTGGATCAAAGGTTAAATTGGCCTATCAAGAAAAAGTGAAGGTTTCAAATTGGGATGGGAAGAGGATGAGAGCTTCTACTTCCTACCATCCAGAGAGCAAGCATGGATGTGAAGTCAGCAAAGATGACTGGAACCAGTACCAACACGCAGACAAATGGACTGAAATACAACCACCAGCTGCACCTGCAGTTCCCAGGTTCTTGCAGTAAGTCAATACTCCCCTCATCTTCTAATCAAATAGTATCACTTAGAAGACGTCTACTGTTTGAGAGGAACAAAGAGTTGTCTCCTCCACACCCAAACTTCATTCTCAGTTTTGTACAAATTAGAAATCTACCCCAAGACTGTCAGTGGAGGGATAGTGTGGGAGTGATCTGAATCTTCTCTAGTGCCATGTTGTAGTGCTTCTCTACCTCCTGCCCTCTCTATTTCTGTATCTCTTGGCAGTTGTGTCCTCCAGACACCGCTGTGCCAGACAGCAGTAAGGGCTCACAAAAAAGAGACAGAGCTTGACAGGCAGTCGGTAAAACAAGAATTCCATGGGTTCTCCATGCTGGCACACCTGACTTGAAATATGATAACTTTTACTTAACAGCTGCAGTGTGACCTTTAGCAAGTCCAACACCCTTTCTGAACCTCAGGTTCTTTAGCTGTCCAAAGGTCTTAGTCTGACTTCCAAAGTCTTTCACAGCTGGTCTTGCTGCTGCTGTGCTAATAGCCAACATTCATGCCCTTTTCTTCCCACAACTCTTGACTTTACTCCTTCATCCTACTTCCCTGGAGAGCTCGTACATTAGGATCTGCAGACTACAAAGCATTATAAATGTTTAAGAAGGCATGTAATCCAGGCCCTGGTGGCTCATGCCTGTAATCCTAGCTACTCAGGAGGCTGAGATCTGAGGATCATGATTTGAAATTGGCCATGCCCATGAGGTTCTTATCTTTAATTAACTACCCAAAAGCTGGAAGTAAAACAGTGCCTCAAGCAGAAGAGAACTAGCCTTGAGTGAAAAAGCTAAGGGACAGTGTCCTAGTTCTGAGTTCAAGCTCCAGTAGTCACAAAATAAAGAAGTGTTTTAAATTTATTTTTTAAAAAATTATGGTCTTAGGAGAGAATGTATATTATAGATGATTGAGTCATAAAAAGAATTAAGTATATAAAATATTAAAATGAAGAAACAACATTGCGAACCTAGGCTATGCCAAATAGCAGCACGTGAGCACAGATGGGTTGGGACTGCAGGTGTTGGGGAGCTGGTGCACTAGGCTGGCTCTAAAGGCTTCATGGCAAAAGTGGTGGGACCTTGCACCCATGGGGAGCCCTTCCCTTCTACAGTTTTAGTCAGAAGATTCCTTCTGTATGACAAATCAAATGAATCTTGCAAGTCAGCAAAAAATTTACCTTTGAATGTTGGTAGTAAATAACTTATCCAGTTGAGTATTCAGAAGCGAGTTCAGCTGATGACATGTATTTTAGTTGTTTTCCCCATGTGTTTCCAACCAAAAATAATTCCTTTGAGACGTGGCTAAACTGCCATCTACTCCACTGCTGCTGTGGAGGCTCCTCCTTTTCCTCTTCCCCTTTTCTCCTTCTCTTTCATGCTGTTGCTCTTCTTTTTGAGACAGGGTCTAGCCTCACTATGTAGCCCAGGCAGGCCTCTCATTCGCAATCTTCCTCCTGCCTCTGAGGCAGAGGGAGAGGTAGATCTTGGACTACACCCCTCAGCTGGCTGCTGAGACGCTAGAGTTCTGGGGTCCCTTCGGAGAGATCCTGCTGGGAATATGGGAATCTGAGTCTCCCACATTGTAACAAGCAGCAGCACTGCCAGCTCCTTTCAGCAGGGACTGGGGGATCAGGATCTCAGACATGAACTATTTCAGGGGACATATTGTGGAGTTCACTGCACTCTCTGGAGGACAGTAACCAAAGATGTTTTCCTTAATCCCAAACCCAGGCTGGGAGTCAGATCCCAGGCTCTGTCTCTCACAGCTATGAATGACACAGGCTGTGGCTATTTGCATTTTCCTCCCACCCCAGGAGTCTACGAAGTGAATGAGCCCATTTCCCCAGGCCTGGATGGTGGGACATAACCAAGAGCGGGGCTCATGCTCCCTGGTGGTGGTGGGAGGCTGAAGAGAAAGCAGGAACTCCTTCTGGCCCACTCAGCTGCATCCTGGCAATACCTCTTCTATGTTTTAACAAAAGCTGATCCCAGAAGCATTTCTCAAAGCACTGTGTTTTTTCCTGCCTCTCCACCCAATTCTTGCTCTGACATTCTAGAGCAGTGGTTCTCCTCTGGGGCATGTGTGAGAGATGATTCCCTCCCCGCTTCCCTATATCTGACAAGGTCTGAAGTCATTGTCACAAGTTGTTGGGGAATGCTACTGGCATCTGGGAATGCTACTGGCATCTAGTAGATAGGACCAGGGATGCTGCTAAACTTTTGCAATGTACAAGAGATCTCCTTCACCTCCCCACTTCCCCACCTCCACAACAACATTATACAGCCCCAGTGATACTGGGATTGAGAAACCCTGGGTTAGGAGATTTCTGGCATGTACTCTCCTATACCTCTTTTGTTGTGTGGGGTATGAAAATCTTGTCTTCCCACCAAGACTATAAGCTCAGGAGTAGTGGTCAGCTTCATGGTTACTCTGAGTTGCTAGCCCTGCCATTGGTGCAGTTCCTCAGGGTTCTAGGCACACAGAGTGACTGATGAAGGCAGAATGCATTTTACTTCTTACCACTTACCTGGAGCTTTTCAATCAGAGGTGAGCTCTTCACCTTGATTTTAGGAGGGTGGCTGGCATTGGGTGATGATTTCTACAAAGTAAATGGATCAAAACAAATGAGTGAATGAAGGGAAAGAAGGTAGGTTCTGTCTGGAGCTCAGAAGCTGCAGGTATGAGGAAGAGAATTTGGTTTCAAAAGTCATCACTTAGTTTCATTAGCCCACTTACTTCTGATGACTCAGGCTCTTCCCTTACCCTCCTTCCCTCCCTCCCTCATTTCCCCACTAGCAAGACCACTTAAATCTGTGAGCTGAGAAGTCAAAGCAGGCATCCTTTACTCAGGAGGTCTCCTATCTAAGGAAGAATGACTTTCATTACCATTAGGAGGAAGAAATATGTCTGTAGGGAACAAGGTCATCTCCCTGTGACCTTCAACAATCAGAGGTAAGTCAACAGAGGGACTTTCACAGGCAACAATGACTATCTTCTCTGTTAATCACAAATAAGGCAATAAATCACAGATAAGGAATAAAATCTGAGTGAGAGATTACTGAAATGCCTCCAGTGAACTATGGTATTTTGGAAAATCCTACCAATGGTATTGTTTGTGAATTATCACTTTCCAAAACACGAATAAAATGAAATATTCATAAAATGAATATTCATTTTAATTTAGCAGACATATATATGGAGTACCTATCCCATTTTCTAGGCATTGTGCTGGTTATATAAAGGTACATATGATTTAGTCTCTGCCCTCTAGAGGCTGATCTAGGTGCTATCTGAACCTATATGTATGCTCTGTTATTTACACTAGTTTTGTGATGAATGTCAGAAATCTTGCCTGCTTTTGAATCCTAAGTTTGTAAATGATTGACTTGTTTTTGTACATCTTCACAACTGCATGAGAAAGATGACAATATTATTTGATGATGTTGAAGAAAAGAAGACTTCCATGTAGCTAGAGGCCAAGGCAGAGAAAGGACTTTTTCTGTAGTTTGAGACCAACATGTATTACCTGCCCCTCACTCCAGTGTGCCTACCCTTGACTAATAGGAAGAAAAGTCCTACCAACATCTTAGGGATATTTTGTGGTATTGTTGAGTGAAATCATTGTATATGGGATGGAAGGGGAGAGGGAGGGAGAGATGGAGGGGAAGAGAGAAAGAGAAAGAGAGAGAGAAAGAGAGAGGGACAGAGAGGGAGAGAGAGAGTTAAGTGAACTCCTTTTGACCCTTCTAAGGGCCAACACCAAGGGAGAGCAAGCTTTAAAGGTGTAGTTACTGGCTAGGACCCAGGAGACCCAAACCCAATCTGATTCAACCTTGGAAGATATTGCAGCAACAATTCTGTTGACAAAGGTCACTTTTTGTAATACTATAAACTCTTCTCTGACCTACTACTGCCTTTTAAATGCAGCAGAAATTCAATAAACACCACCACAGGACTGTACTAGAGATCCAGCTGAGGTGTCATAGAACCTTTATTGACTGAAATTACCAAGCAGAAGCCTTTATCAGTGCTAACCCTGGGATGGACACCAGGTGGCAGCTTTTGCTTACAGTTTAACAAAGGCCTCCATACAAGTGGCAGGCATCAGGGTTTTTAGCAGGCTGCACTGTATAAGTATAAACAGCAGCAGCCTCCATGTGCACCCCAGCCAGACAAAGCTGGCCACTCATTTTATTTCTAAGTGAATCTCAAGGCAAAGGAAAGTCACTGATCCTTGGAGGTGTGTACTTCCTGTGGGTAAGCAGCTTGTCACTCCAGGTAGGACTTTCAGTCTAAAATCTACCCTCCTCCTGATCTAGCACTTGGCCATTATGTGTCATATGCCTTTAATTTCTGGATGCCATACCTCATGGATAGAACCTGTAAGTGTATTTGTACAGAGCCACTGAAATGAAGCTGTTTAATCGCATCACCATTAGCTTGACCCACTCTAAAAAATTCACTTATTTATTTATTTTTCGTGTTGGTCCTAGAGCTTGAACCCAGGACCTAGGTACTATCCCTGAGCTTTTTTGCTCAAGGCTAGTGCTCTACCACTTAAGTCACAGCTCCACTTCTGGCTTTTTGGTGGTTAATTGGAAGTAATAGTCTCATAGACTTTCCTGCCTGGGCTGGCTTCGAATTGCAATCCTCAGGTCTCAGCTTCTCATGAGCCATTGGCACCCTTCTTTAATTCACTTTTGTTCCCATGAGCAAAGCTTCCCCATCCAGATCCATGTTCTGGTTAGTGTTCTTGCTCTTGTCTTCATTTTACAAATAAGTCACTATGGGGCAGTGAATCCTCCTGGGGCTAGCCTGGGTTACCAGGGGACAGACTCAGATGAGCACAGTCTCAGCTGCTGCAAGGCACAGAGACACCAAGCTGGAGAGTGAAGGCAATAAAGAGAAGGTGACCCTCTGGAAAGAGGAGTTGTTGGCATGTGTTTGGTTATAGCATTGATTGGTATACTACGTTAACACTTAAAGAGACCTAACAACAAGAAAATAATGTTTCTTAAGTTCTACTCCATAAGTTTCTTAGGGAAGGGAAATACTCTCAGAGCAGACAGGTCTCCAATCACTGCATCCACTTGAGCATGTACAAGTATGACTTGGCTTTGCGTGCATGTGTGTGTGTATGCACGTGTACGTATGCTGGTAGTGGGGTACAAGGCTGGCGCTCTACCATTTGAGCCATAGCTCCATGCCTAGCCTTTAGGGATTAATTAGAGATAAGAGTCTCACAGGCTTTCCTGTCCAGTCTGGCCTTGAACTACCATCTTCAGATCTCAGCCTCTTGAGTATCTGTCTAAGATGATAGACATGAGCCAAGCACAGTGACTCAAGCTTGTACTCCTAGCTACTCAGGAGGCTGAAATCTGGGGATCACAGTTCAAAGCCAGCCCAGGCAGGAAAAGTCTGTGAGACTCTAATCTCCAACAAACCACTCAGAAAACCGGAAATAGTGCTGTGGTTCAAGTGTTAGAGCACTAGCCTTGAGCTGAAGAGCTGAGGGACAGTGCCCAGGCCCAGAGTCCAGGCCCCACAACCAGAAAAAAAAAAAAGAAGAAGATAGACATGAGCCACTAGTGCATGTCTTTGTTGTCCTTCCTTTTCTTTCTTTCTTTTTTGTTTTATTGGTCCTAGGCTTCAATTCAGGGCCTGAGTGATGTCCCCAAAGTTTTTTGCTCAAGGCTAGTGCTCACCTAGCCTTCCAGCTTTTTTGGAGGTTAATTGGAGATAAGAATCCCTTGGACTTTCTTAGCTGGGTGGGTTTTGAATTACCATTCTCAGATCTCAGTCTCTTGAGTAGCTAGGATTACAGAGCCACCAGAGCTGGACTGACTATTTTTGATGGGCTTGTGCCTATATGACTTGCATTAACTAAAAAAAGACTTGAAAAACCATTCGCTGATTCCAGCTGTCTCACAATATAGATGAGACAACACAGGCACCAAAGAGCTGCCCAAGTTCACACAGGAATCTAGTCTCTATTGTCAGGATGCTGGTCCTAGAAAAGAAGGGCAGAATGACAAGGTGGTTGAAGTGGGAGTCGGGAACCATTTTTGGCCTGCTTGCTGTTTTGGGATTGGCCTTCTATGCTGGATGACAGGACCTGTGATTTCCTTTCTGCCATGATCACAGTGAAGCTGAGGGGTTACTTGGATAGGGCCCGAAGAAGCCACTCCAACAGCTACAATTAGATAAACGGGGTTGGGTGAATATGCAGGCTGGAAATCTATTACTGGCTATGATCTATGATACCAGAGCCTTTATTATGTTAGGAGCATTGGCTATTTATAGTTGAGGGCAACTAGGCCTCCCGTGTGCTCTAGCTTTCCTCCAGTGATTGGGTTACTTCCAGTGATCTAGAACAGTAGTCAGCTGGTTTTGAGAGCTGGGAAAGCTACGATAGTCTGCCAAATCACAGTTATGCTTCATAACAGCAAAGCCCCTCTGTTCAGGTGTCTTGTCCATGTCCCATCCCAAGACCTTCTGTGTCAGATCTGGAAAGAAAATGTACTTTTCCTGTCACCTACCATGTGGTGTGGTACTGATACCTGACTTGCTGCTGTATCACTCAGACTTGAAAGTAGGAGAAACTGGGGAATCGGTGAGGGAGGTAGATCTAAGGTAAAAGATCCAGGAAGCATTAAGAGACTGGTTCATCCAGGTGCTAGTGGCTCACACCTGCAACCCCAGCTACTCAAGAGACTGAGATATGAAGATTGAGGTAAGAAGTCCATAAGACTATCATCTCTGTTATAGCCAGAAAAAAACTCACAAGTGGAGGTGTCACTCAAGTGGTAAGAGTACTAACCTTGAGCAAACCAGCCAAGGGAGAGTGCAAGGCCCTGAGTTCTAGCCTCAGTACTGTCCCTAGAAAAAGAAAAGAGATTCACTCTTGAATCTGAAGTCCTGTGTCCTGATTTGATGTCTAGCAGTGTGATTTTGATGCCTCTTTCTACAGAAGGAGGAAAGCATGAAGCCAGCAGTCTCTGCCCGTGCACTTACCTCCTCACCATTCTGGCCCAGCTCTACCTTAGGGGGGAACAGAGGGAGGGAGCAGGGTGGTTTCCTTCTTGCTGGTTTACTGGCTGGTGTCTAGAGGAAAGGCAATGGACAACACAGAGAGAAAAAGAGAAGACAGTGAATCAGGCAATAGGGAGGAAGAGGAAGGGAGTGGAGATGGGTTAGGGATGCATGGAGGAGAAAAGAATGGTGGGGCTGGGGGTCTTCAAGACTGCCTAACACCACATAAATTAGTACCATGTAACTAGTCTTACTTCTTTGAACTTTCAGAATCTCCCCGCCCCCTTTCCTTTGCCTTTCTGCACAACATTCCAGTGTTTGGGGTTTGTTTGTGTGTCAGTACTAGAGCTTGAACTCAGAGCCTGGGCATTTCTCTTAGCATCTTTGCTCACAGATGGCACTCTATTACTTGAGTCATAGCTCCTCTTCCAGCTTTTTGATGGTGAATTGGAGAGAAAAAAAAAACCCTCTTGTACTTTCTTGCCCTAACTGGCTTTGAACCTCTGCCCTCAGACCTCAGCTTTCTGAGTAGCTAGGATTACAGGCATGAGCCACTGGTGCCCAGAGTAACATCCTCTTTTACTTGACCATCACTGACCTGAGCCTGCATTTCAAGACAACACATTCAACCTTTTCAGCTTTCAGGCAGTTCCAGAACCATCTCCTTTGTCCTTTAGGACATTCCTGTAATGTGTAGAATTCATGGACCCTATTTTTAAAATTGAGAATACAAAGCACAAAACAGTGCACCTAAGAAAACCCAGGCAACTAAGTTGTCACTTGCTGCCTGGGGCCAGGGGAGATCCTCTCCTTTCTACCTTTAGTACTCTACTCACCTCTGACAAGCACCACACACACATGGCCAAGAAAGTCTAGCCCAACTCTCTCCACAGTCAGATACTCCTTTCTATCCCTTCCTCTTCAATAGGATATTCCAGAATTCCTAGGTCTTGGTCCCTCCCTTCTGATTCCTAGTCTCCTATTGGATTAGGTCTCCATTCAAGTCCTGTTTCCTTCTCAAGAAGTCACAATTCAGGATCTGTCCAGCTGTCTTGCTCCAGACTTATACCTAGGCTAGGTAGCAGAAGCAGGCAGGAGGTGTCTTTACTCTAAGCCAGTCCTGGCTTGGCACAGCTGGGCATGATATCTAAGTCTGTGGAAGATCAAGATAAAAATGAACCCCCAGTCCTCTCTCTCACACACTCTCTCATTCTCTCTCTCTCTCTCTCTCTCTCTCTCTCTCTCTCTCTCTCTCTCTCTCCTCTCTCTCTCTCTCTCTCTCACTCTCTCTCTCTCACACACACACACACACACACTTTCACTTTAATGATGATAAAGGGGGTTTGAACTCAGGATCTCAGTCTTGCTAGACTACACAGGTGCTCTTCCACATGAGCCACATTCTGTATCACCTAAGCCTTGCAGCTCTGTGCCAGACATCTCCTCCTTTCCCGCATGGCTTCTGTACAGGCATGCAGTGGTGGTGGCACATTCCTTGCATTCAGAGGGACCCTCTCTGGCTTTTCTTCCTAATTTGGTAGTTGCCAAGCTTTGTCCCTCCCTCTCCTCTGAGCTGGATCAGGCTTTTCCTCCTCCTCCAGCCCCCTCCCTAGATGGATGCTTTGAGCCTCCAGACTCACCTCCTTGGCCGCAGCTGCCTGTTCCTGAAACCGACCAGCCAGCTGCGCCACGGATGGCGGTGCTGAACTGTCCACGCTGCTGTTGGTCTCTGTGGGTCTCTCCTGGTAAACCAAAAGGAGGCAAAAATTAACGAACAACAACTACACATGGCTTTTCCAAGTGTTGGTACAGGGTGTCATGAAAAGCACTGGTTTTATAGACACAAGTCACAATGCTGTGACAATGAGGTATTTAATAGTATTTTGCAATTAACTCTAGTAGTAGAGAATTTTTTACAAACGATTCAATCAGCTACATTTACTACATATCGATCGCGAATGTCCTGTCAAGGATTTAGAGAGAGCCTAGGGGTTCTCATTCTACGAAGACCCACTACAAAAGGACTGCTACTGGTGACAGTGTGAAAATCTCCATTTTGATCAGTGACAAAAAATGGGGGCTGGTGACTTAGTCAGTCATCAGTTTACTGTTCTGCTTCAAGCCAAGATACACTCCAAGATACTGTTCATTCCTGTGTGTTGTCTGTTACCAAGACACAGAGATGAGTCGGTGACACTGGAAGTGGCACTTCACTCCTGCCTTGTTACACATGGCCTTTGAAGCTCCCTGCTTTCATTTATTTTGAGACAAGATCTATCTTACTATGTAGCCCAATTGGACTTAATTCATGATCTTCTGGTCTCTGTCCCCAAGTATGCAAGGATTATAGGCATAAACCATAATGCTCAGCTCCTCCTGATTATTAGTGGCTTGCCTTCCTTCCTTCCTTCCTTCCTTCCTTCCTTCTTCCCTTCCTCCCTCCCTCCCTCCTTCCCCCCTTTCCTATTTACAGGTCTAATCCTTGAGGCATTAAACTTTTGCTTTATTATTATTTTGTCACTTTGGCAGTGATATATCCTATACAGCCCACGGACTTACTCTACCATGTTCCTTCCTCATATCTAACCTGAAACTCCATAGCTCTCATAAGACAGGGCGGAACCCCTTTCATTAGCAAGTGTACATCCTGCCCTCACACTTGCACACACACATACCCACACCCACACACTTCTATGATCTTTCATTTTGTGCTACAGGTGTCTCCAAGCTTTCTGATATGTCCACCTACCAAGGGGGCGGGGCGGGGAGGGACTAGAAACTTCTGTTCTGTGAATGGCTGATCTGGGGGGCAAAGGCAGGTAGGTAGGTACCTTGTTCCTTTGCCTTCAACATGGAAGTCCATTTTCACATCAGCCCAAGCAGCCAGGCTGTTCCTACAGAAAGACACAAAAGCAACCCCCTCTCCTCAGGCACTTGATATCCAGGTAGTGCTGGGAAAAGCCAAGAGCCAGAAACCCCATTGCATCAGCACCCATGGGTGGGGTTCTCAGAACTTGAACCTGTTTGATCTGCACAAGATCACATCAGCAGTGTCCAGAAACCAGCACTTTGTCCTCCTGGAAGCTTGGGGAGGTCCTGGGGGAAGAGTGTGGCAAATAGAACTGCTTGTGGTAAGGACACAGTCCCAATCAGTTTGTCCACCTGCCCCACAACAGATCAGTGTCTGTTCATGGCTATTAATTGCTGAGTCCCTGCTGACTACACATTCTACCTTGGCTGGAGATGTAGCAAGACATGCCAGTTAAAAATAGATCAGATAAGGAATTAAAAAACAAAACCAAAAACCTCCTGAACTTCCTCATCTCAAAACTCAGCTGGGCAAGGGGCTGGGTAGTAGCAGAACTACAAAGCTTCTAGAAGCATTTAGGGTTGGCAAGTGGGTTAAAAGAAAGACTAGAATGTATCTGGGTTTGTTTTTCTGGAGTCCAGGAAATGAGTTTTCTTTAGATCATCCAAGAATTCCAGAACTTGTATAAACCTGGCAAATCCACTTATTACCAACACCTTTCCAGATATTTCCCATTCAATGTTTGGGAACACTGGCTGCTTAGTGCTGGCTGTGTGCTGGGAATGTTGAGGGCCAGCGAGGGTAAGCAATTTAGTCAGAATCACACAGGAGAAGCCAAAAAGGAGGAGACTCTAACATCCAGTAACCTAGCAATGGATACCAGTGCAGTGATCTAACTTATGAGTGTACTTTAGAAACTAAGTGCTATATAACTCTTGAAAGTATCATTAGCCATTGGGTACGTAAGTGCCTTAAGAGTAGGAAAGCATAGTTTTAAGATACACATGGACTGGTGGCTCATTCTCTGCAAGGCTTTGCCAGGATTTCTGCCTCATAATTCTGGCCAGCTACCTCTGTGAACCTCCTCTACTGGGCCCAATACCACTCCAGCTCAGCCCAGGCCACTGGCTCTCTATGAGCCCCAGGCTGTCCTGGTAAGGTCACACTCTCACCTGGACCATGTTCTTAGTTCTGAGAAGGGCTTCCATGTCTTCATCTAATCCCAGGCTTTCTTGAGACCACCTAAGCTTCTCAGTATTAATTGTTCTTTCCTGGCTCATAAGTACTTAGCACACTGCCAGTAAGTGGCTCATGCCTGTAATCCAAGCTACTCAGAAGACTGAGGTCTGAGTACCATGGTTCAAACCCACCAGGGGCAGAAAAGTCTGTGAGACTTTTATCTCTTATCTCCAGTTAACCAACAAATAGCCAGAAATGGACCTATGGCTCAAGTGATAGAGCACCAGCCTTGAGTGAAAACACCAAGTAAGAACCTCAGACCTGATTTCAAGCTCCAGTCCCAACATAGACACACGCGCGCACACACACACACACACACACACACACACACACATACACACACACAGAGGGCCTGGAATATAGAATGATTTCATTGAAGGCTAATTCTGTCTGTTATTACTGGAACTTGAATACCTGTGCCAAGGCATTGAGCCCCTCACTTACCCCATGGACCAAACCTAGTTGCCCCTCACCTCCCTCCCCAGCATCCATGCTCTGAATCATGGCTACTGTCTTGACCTCAGCTTGTCCTTTCTTCCTGGACCAGTTTCCATGTATCTGCCTTCCAGACTCAGTGTCCCCTTTCCTGCTTTATCCACACTTGTCTTCATAGCTCTTTGGCCTCTATTCCATCTTCCAGCACCCAAATATTGCTTACCAAGCCCTCCCTGCCACCATGCCAGCCTGACTGTGTCAGCTAGCCGAGAAATCATACCTGTGGTTTGATTCAGCCCAACACCCAGAGAAAAATCATATTTGATGTTTTCTTTCCACATCTGTGGGATTTTCTTCTGATAATTGAGAAGGACAGCGGAGAACTTCCCTCATGCTGTTGTCATGTTGAATAAATTCAATTTGAAATGCTGACAACCACACACATACTAGAACCAGAGGAAGGCCCTGCCTGCCCACCTTGATCTGCCCTGCTTCTCCACAGGGTAAAAGTGTCTATGCCACAGTTTAGTGAAACAAGGGAGATTCTGAAAGGATCCTAAGATGTCTTAAGGCTCTTAAGGATTTTGAGGTGCTCACCACCTTCCAAGATAACTTATGGTCACTTCCGAAGCACTTAACCACTACTTCAGAGGGGTTAACATAGAGCTTTCTAGGCTGCTGCCTCCATTTTCCTCCTCCCCAGCTCTCCCATTCACCCCATTGGTGACCATTGCTGTCCTAGGATGATGGAGAGGTCACTGGGCTAGCCATTTATCCACCTCTTCTGTGGGAAGCACTGTCTGGATGCTCTGGCATGTCCGCTCACTCTAATTCTTCCCTCTTCTAGAAGGAGATACAGGCTAGAGCTGCTAAGTAACTTGCTACTCAAGTTAATAAGTGCCAGCATGAGAACTTTCTGATCTTGGAGGTTCTAGCTTTTTGCACCAATATGCCATACCAAGTCTATTCCTCTACTAGAAGATGAGTTTCAATCACTTGTGCCAGCAGACACTTGCTCTCGTGTTCTGGGGCATAAGAGTGAGAAAGATGGAACTCTTGTCCTTCCAGAGTTGCTAGTCCAGTGCCTGAAACTAACAATAGATGTATTCTTTTTTTTTTTTTTTGGGTCCGGTCATGGGGCCTGAACTCTGGGCCTGGGTGCTGTCCCTCAGCTCTTCAGCTCAAGGCTAGCGCTCTACCACTTGAGCCACAGCGCCACTTCCGGCTTTTTTTCTTTTTGTATATGTGGTGCTGAGGAATCGAACCCAGGGCCTCTGGCTTGCAAGGCAAGCGCTCTACCACTGAGCCACCTTCCCAGCCCCAATAGATGTATTCTATGACACTTTGTTAAATGCTGTGAAGAAGATAAAATTGAGCACTTTTCCTATGGAAAGATGTGTCTGAGGAGGATGTGTCCTGAGCAAAAGCACAGTCAGCAACAAAGGTTGAGGAACAGAGAAAAGAGAAGTGTGGCAGGGACAAGTTGAACATCAGAGGAGTCAGGGAGATAAAAGATAAAAAGTGATCTGGGGCCACCCCCCCAACTCCCTTTTGAGGTACACCATTTGGAGTGAATAAGATAGCATTTGGAGGGATCAGGATGATGTGACCTGGGTTACATATTGAGAAGCTGGGTATAGAGATGAAAGAGAGTGGGAGCACAGAAGCCAGGAGGTAGGTGCAGGCAGCGGTCCAGCTGAGAGGTGACAGTGGAGTGGACCAAACTTGTTCCAGGAAGGTGGTGAGGAAGGATTTGGAGGCAATAGTGATGGGAGTTGTTGATGTAGTAGGTGTAGGAGAGTGAGGGAGAGAGGGGAACTCAAGGAACCTGGATGTTTGATTTAGATAATAGGATGTCTAGTGTATTTTCTCCTAGGTTGGGGAGGGAGAGCTGAGTAATGATAGGATGGAGAATAGTTCTTTTATGGTTATGATATGTGTGTGTGTGTGTGTGTGTGTGTGTGTGTGTGTGTGTGTGTGCCAACTGAACTCAGGGCTCTTGCCTAGCTTTTTCCATTCAAGGCACTCTACTAGTTGAGCCATACTTCCCACTTTGGCTCATTTTTATTTTCTTTTGGGTTGGTTGTGGGGCTTGAATTCAGGCCTAGGCACTGTCCCTGGGCATTTTTGCTCAAGGCTAGCACTGTGCTACTTTGAGCCACAGCACCACTTCCTGTTTTCTAGTGACTAATTGGAGATAAGACTCTCACACACTTTTCTGCCCAGGTTTAGCTTCAAACTGTCTCAGATCCTGAGTAG